CCGTTATTTTGCTAATCTCCATTACCAGCGATAGTCCTACTCAGGAAGTTTTCGGTGCTTAATTCTGGTAACGCTCATACGGACGTCTTCACTGTATAACACAATGTGAAAGAGTTATATTGTTGAGTGAGTGGTTCTTAATTCTATCGATGCTAAGGGGTCTGCGTGACACAAGCCCGTGATTTCAGGCTTAGTGTGAGCAGTTAAATCAGTTATAAAAAATGTATCAAAAATACTTTTATAAACTTTGGGGCCGGGTTCCTCACATCGACAAAAAGAACAAATGTCTATATAAACATATATCCGCAAACTCTTTAATTTAAAGTTTAATGATTACGGTAGACAAGCTAAGGGTGCGTGTTCCTCACACCAAAACAAGTAAAAATGTCCAAATAAACATATGTATAAAAGGCCATCGTTGTACCTCAACACAGCAACTCATACCAAATGTTCAAAATATCCTCCGCTTACTTCTGCACACGCATGCACCCGTCGGATCATTGATTGGCGGACCCTTTCAAATACTCCCACACGGTGTCGAATGGTTTCAAAGACCCCCATGAAACGTTTATGAAGTTTCTCTGCATTTTGAATGTCTGCTGAATAAACCAATTCTTTTAGGTGGCCCCACATAAAAGTCCAAAGGATTGAGGTCGGGGGAACGTGTAGGCTATGGAACCGGTCCTCCCCTATTTATCCATCCTTTATGGTAGATGCTAGTCAGTGCATCGCGAACGATGTGACTAAAATGAGCTGGAACTCCATCATGCATGAACCACATGCATCTTCGTATTAGCAGGGGTACATCCTCTAGCAGGGCTAGAAGCGTGTTCGAAATAAAGTCCCTGTAGACAGCTCCTATAAGACAAGCTGGGAGAACATATGGTCCTACTCGACAGTTATCTCCAATTCCAGCCAACACATTAATCCAAAACTGATGCTGGTGTCTATGGGGATTCCGATCCTCTCACAAATGTTGCTTATGTAAATCTGTCATTCCATCCCTTTCAAATGTTACCTCATCCGTAAACAATGCCGAAGAAACCAACAACAGATCGGCAGTTTGTGCAATAAATTATCAACAAAAGTTCTCCGGTGTTGAGTGATCAGAGGGCGAAAGATCCTGCACACGTTGCAAATAATACGGATACAGGATCTGCTGTTGAAGTACCCTCCATGTGGTACTATGAGATGTACGCCATGCTAGTGCCACTTTAACGCGTGCTGATACCTAGATCGTCTATGACAGCCTGTAGAATGTGTTCTTCGTAGTCAGGCGTACGAGCGGAATTCGGCCATCCTTGATCCTTAGTTTGTGGTGACACCGATCCTGTCTCAGCAACGCTACGATAAAAAAAAAAAAAAAAGCAAAGGTTGGATGACTCGGCTGCCTTCGGTCTCGAAACACTATTTGGTGCAGCCATCCATTACCATTCGCGTAGGTGTATGTAAAAATCATATCGGCTTGCTTACGATATGAATATCCTGACAACGGAAAACTTCTCAGATCACTCACTACTACACACGTTAAGCGTTGAAGACACACTAGCCACAAATGTACATGAATGTCAAATGTAACCTAGTCTACACAGCGACATCTACCGTAAACTTTCTTTAAACTTGATAACTCAAAAGCTATTTTCTTTCTTTTCATCCACCCTCTTTCTCTATGCATTACTTTTATAGCCATTTCTGTCTTTCGTTCTTTCTTTTCTTATTGCATCCATATTCCTTTTACTTTCTTTTTTACTTTCTTTTCATCCATTCTCTTTTTTCCTTCTAACCTTCTATATGAATCGCCCTTTCTTTCTTTTATACCCATTTCTTCTTTTCTTTCCTTCTTTCTTTCTTTCTTTCTTTCTTTCTTTCTTCTATCCTTCTATATGAATCTCTTTCTTTCTTTCTTTCTTTCTTTCTTTCTTTCTTTCTTTCTTTCTTTCTTATTGCATCCATCTTCCTTTTTCTTTCTTTCTTTCTTTCTTTCTTTCTTTCTTTCTTTACATCCATTCTCTTTCATCCTTGTATATGCATTTCCTTTATGCCCATTACTTTCTTTCTTTCTTATTGCTTTTTTTGTTTCTTTGTTTCTGTGTTTCTTTCTTTCTTTCTTTCTTTCTTTCTTTCTTTCTTATTGCATTCTTCCTTTTCTTTTCTTTCTTTCTTTCTTTCTTTCTTCATCCATCTTCCTTTTTCTTTCTTTCTTTCTTTCTTTCTTCCTTTCTTTCTTTCTTCATCCATTCTTCCTTTTTTCTTTCTTTCTTTCTTTCTTTCTTTCTTTCTTTCCATTTCTCAATTATGTATTTATTCCAGTCGCTATCTCTACGCCCAAACGCACCCCTCTCTCAAATTAGTCTGGTCCAGTCACGTCCAGATTCCGACTCTAATTATAATTCTTCTTCACTTGTAGGTCTTTTCAATGAGCAGAAACTGCTCAGCCATTCGTCCTTCGTCTCGCTTCATTGACTTCTTACCTTCTGTCGTTTCTTTTTTTTCTCCTTAAAGTCAGTTATATTAAAAAAAAAAAAAAAACATTTAAAGATATTTTCGCAATTTCTTACTTACATATTTTTTCATTTTCACTTCACGCTTCCTCTCGCAGTATTTATCACAAAAATATTCCTGTTCCCCCTTCTTTTCATCTCTCTATCTCTCAACATATTTTTTTTTTACCTCGATTGAATAAATAGTTTATCACCCCCTGTTGTCCGAGTTTATCTCCCCCTCCTCCCTTTTTTTGGTCACGTGGTTATGATTTTTTGTTTATAGGCTATAAATATTCCGTTCTTTCTTTTACCTTTTAGCCAGCCTTCCCTGACGATCCATTAGGTGAAACCTTGGTAGTTTTTTTTCTGGCTCTCTAGGTTTAACTACACACACACACACACACACACACACACACACACACATATATATATATATATATATATATATATATGTGTGTGTGTGTGTGTGTTCACACACACACACACACATATATATGTGTGTGAGTGTGTGTGTGTGTGTGTGTGTGTGTCTGGTTCTATGCGTGTGTGTGTATTTGATTGTAAAAGAAAGAAAGAAAAAAAAAGAAGATGGAAAAAGAAAGAAGATTCATGGTGTGTATGTGTGTGTGCACATTTTCTGTATATGTGCATGTTTCTTTTGTAATAAATGTGTCTAAGATGTCATGTGCGTGTGTGTGTGTGTGTGTGTGCACATTTTCTGTATATGTGCGTATGTTTCTTTGTATATGTGTGTAGGCGTCTATGTGTCTAAGTATGTATGCAGACGTGTGCGTGTGTGTGTGTGTGTGTGCACATTTTCTGTATATGTTCTTTATATATGTGTGTAGGCGTCTATGTGTCTATATGTTTGTGCTTTGTGTATGTGTGTGCACATATATGTGTTTATATATGTGTGTAGGCGTCTATGTGTCTAAGTATGTATGCAGACGTGTGCGTGTGTGTGTGTGTGTGTGCACATTTTCTGTATATGTGCGTATGTTTCTTTGTATATGTGTGTAGGCGTCTATGTGTCTAAGTATGTATGCAGACGTGTGCGTGTGTGTGTATGTGTGTGTGCACATTTTCTGTATATGTGCGTATGTTTCTTTGTATATGTGTGTAGGCGTCTATGTGTCTAAGTATGTATGCAGACGTGTGCGTGTGTGTGTATGTGTGTGTGCACATTTTCTGTATATGTGCGTATGTTTCTTTGTATATGGTTGATTACGAACTTTCTTCATCTGTAATTTTCTTCATTCTCTCTACTTCTCCATCTCTCTCTCTTCTCTCTCTTTACATAATGCTAACCTAATATATATTCACCCCAATTCTAACCACTCTCCATCTGTAATCAGACATATACCCTCATCTATAGAATTTAGGATTAGCAAAATCTTATCAAATGTATTTGATAAATACAGCGGTGTTTATAATACTGCTTTAAAAAATAGTGGCTACAAGTACGATGAAATCAAGTATAGAAAATATGATAATATTGATCTAAGGAAAAGAAATAAGAAAGGAAAAATTATTTGCCCCCCATTTAACAAATTGGTCAGTACTAAGTTAGGCCAGAAGTTCATTCATTTAATTGATAAATATTTCCCTCTTAGCAAGATATTTAACAGAAACACAACAGAACTAAGTTATAGTTGCACCGATAATCTTGAGAAGATTATACAGAAACACAATAACAAAATTTTAAACCAATATAAAAATTTGGATAATAATACACATTCCAAGATAAATACTGTTGATAATATTAACAAATGTATTTGCAAGAATTCTAACGAATGCTCTTTACGTAACCAATGTTTAACCAACTCTCTTGTTTATCTAAGTACTATTTCTATAATGGAGAATCCGACTGTTCATAAATTTTATATTGGTAGTACTAAGAATTCTTTTAAGACTAGGTGGTATCAACATATCTTATCCTTCACCAATAGTACTTATAAAAATAGTACATCTCTTTCTAAATATTTTTGGATTTCAGAAGAATCTAATAGAACTCCTAAGTTAAAATGGAAACTCTTTAAATAGCTAGAACATGTAGATCTTTAAATGAACCCTGTTTTCTATGCTTACATGAAAAATTAGAAGTGAATTGACTGTAAATTGTATGCATAGTCTACTTTTTACCTTACAATATTTTAAAACTTTGAATTTGATAATACTTTTTCCTATAGTAATAATCAATAAATAAACTGCGGTACACCTTATATGGCTTACTATTCTATTTGTAAGATTCATTTTGATTTAATATAGCTCTGTATTGATGTTTAGTTAGTATTATTAACATCTTATATGTATGTACAGGTGTTTAGTTACTATTATTAACATCTTATATGTATGTACAGGTGTTTAGTTAGTATTATTAACATCTTACATTGATTAGTTGGTATTATTGACATCTTATATGGATGCTCTTATTGAACGTTGAGAGTCTGGCCGTTATATAGTTAGTTTATTATTCATAATTAATAATAACAAAATATCTCATTAGCAAACAAGGAAATCAGACTACTCATATATAAACTTTTGAGGGTTATTCCACCTTGTCTGCCAGTGTGCTTGCGAGGTGGTACTGTTCAGAACTATCATAATTCTGCTTGTTCCTCTGTTAGTTAATTCCTTAGTGAGTTCGCACGACCGTTACGTCCTGCTAATAACTCATAAATAAGTGACTATTCTGTTTTAATCGCATGAAAATACGGAAATGACGTATCAGAGACGCTACTTGGTTTCAGTGAGAAAAAGAAAGAAATAAGTGAAGATTGAAGTGTTTAAAGTCTGTTTCAGTTAAATAATGGGCTATTCTATTTTAATCGCATGAAAATACGGAAATGACACATCAGAGACGCTACTTGGTTTCAGTGAGAAAAAGAAAGAAATAAGTGACGATTGAAGTGTTTAACGTCTGTTTCAGTGAAATTTTTAAAAAAAATTGTCAATTCAATCTTTTCATTTGTACACCCTTACTTCTTAAAATAATGACCAGCATTCATATTTATGATTGTTATTACAATATTTTGTTAAAGATGTTAAGCTCAAATATTTAACGGTGCGATTATATGAAATTTCTACCGACATTTTATTGTCGTAAAACACCTCATGAATTTATTGAATCATTAACTTAAGTGTTGTGATGTGGGGTTTGGCAGACACGACATTAACTTGACAGAGTCAAGAAGTAGAATTACCAAGGACTACTTATCATGAATTAATCAGTTCATTCATGTTAGTAAGGAGGGTAACTGGCTCTTAGCACAAAATTAAGAATATTACAATAGGAAAACAGTGAAATTTTCACGGATCTTTCTAGATAAAGTGGATTTCTTGCGCAATAAAATGCGATTCAGTTTCTCTCTAGGTTTCGTACCTGTCTATCTATTGACATCTTTACTGATTAGTTCTCTGAAAGATTCATATTAACAAGCAGCATGGCCCGGCGTTGCCCGTACTTGATTCAAAAATCGTACGACTCATAAAGCAATCGCTATCACTTGACTTAAAATATTTTTGCCCTTCCTTGCCTTTAAAGGAGAGCCCCTTGCCGTGCTGACGTTGCTACATGCCTTACTTCTTGCCTATCTCACACTGCGAATTTTTTCTAAGCTCTATACTAAACATTAAATCTGTTACGAAAAAAGAACTAAACAAAATGAACACAAAACGATCAGCTTTAAAAAAGGACTCGTAACTGGAAACAAACCGAATGAAAAAAGAATGTCCACAACAAATACTTTTTTTACACACAACCCAGTTCTGCGGAATCAGAATCAACGTTGAGTTTACGCAAGCGAATGAGCCAATTGGAGTAAAGTGCCATGCAGATTTAAATTTTTCCCACTTGTGACGAATGCAGCTATCGATTTTTTTTGCATGCTAGCAAGCTAGTTAACATTCGTGCCAGTCAGCTGTTGGCTCTCATGCTGGCTAATAGAATCTTTCTGCCTATTCGTGGCAGCCAGCTATTGGCTCACACTCTGGCCAGTACAAAATGTCCGCAAACTACATGAAAACTGCCGTAGAAGCATGAAAAAATCGATTATTTCCACTATTGATGGGAGTTGGGAAATGCAAAATCTGTCTTGGCCGTCCTGGTAACTTGGAGCATGTGCATGTAAACTTTGGTATAAATCCGTCGAAAATTGCGGCCGTGCATTCCTTACACACACACACACACACACACACACACACACACACACATCCTGCCTTTTAGAGATAATATTATTATTAATATTATGATTATTTCCTTTTATTTCTGTAGTATACACAATTCCTTCCGGGTACCAACCAAAGACCTAAGGTCAGAAAGAGCTTTATGAGATTTTCCACTGAACACGTTTGTAAAAAAGATCGCACACATTTTACATAGATAAAACTCTCATGTCCTCATGTGTCATATGTTTTAGATTTCCACTTCAAGATCCTTGTATTTTCAATAGTTTTTTGAAGATCTCCAAAGATACATTACAGTCTGCAGGGACTGCAACGTTAATAAGAAGGCACTTGTGGTCATTAATCACGATGTCTAGGCAATTAGCTTTGATTATTCTCTCTGTGTGTAAAGTCCCATAAAATTCTTACGGGTCCTATCTCCGTAACCGGGTCTGGATGATGTTCATGCCAGTTTCTTAGTATCCTTCCCGTAAAAGTTGCATATTTTCCAGTACAGTTATGGGCCCACCCTATCATGCCGAGTTTTATATTCAGTGGGTTCTAACACTGTCCAAACTGATACAAGATGGTCATTTCTTTCTGAATATTTATCACATAATCTGCATTTGGGGTCAATACAATTTTTCAATAGGTGTGCTTGGTAACTTCTAGTAAGTATTGGTCCTGTACAGCACGAATAAAACCTTCGGTTTCAGCTTTTAACCCTGCACTACTCAACAACTGATGGGTACGAGGTTTATGTCTATATCAGCTTGTTTTGTATCATGTCATCGTTTCTGCATTTGGTACATTGCCTTTGCTTTCTTTTTTAGGTTCTTTGCCGCTGCAGTAG